CAGGTTGTTCCAGTGTGTCATCCTTTCAGGTTGCAAATCTTATGGCCTTAATCATTATAATTCAGCTGCATAAATGGGACCAAACTGATTCTTGATGTAAGATGATGCAACTTCACTGGAGTAATTTCATGGCATTGGATCAGCAGTGAAAATGGGCCCTATTTCTTGGCTGCTTAAAGTCATGCTCATATGAATGAGCTCCCAACTTACTGTCCACTTGTCTTTGTGGTATGGTATTGAGCAGTGATGGGTTTATACAAGCAATCCAATAAGTGTCATGTTGTCGTAAGCCCATTCTGTGGGGTGGATGGACTTTCAACTATAGCATGAATCTGTACCCTATTAAGAATCACTGAGCAGGGAAGGAAAGGGAGAGCTCTCATATATTTTGCTAGTGGCTATATACAAGAGACTGTCATTTACAAGAGAGAGCAGGAAAACCCTTGAAAACCACATTGGGATTATCTGGCATTTCAACAGCCTGCCAGACCATGGCACAGGATGAACAGAAATGCCCAGACTTGAATCCAGGAGAGCTCATTATTGAAACAAGTTGTGTCATTGTCCAAAGCACTAGGCTGTCAGGAAATGGCATGACCCCAAGCTGCTAACAAAAGGGCGTGTGAAGCCCCATGCACGTGTAGCACAGGCAGCAACGTCATGTGACTTTTGGGGACAGATCCTCATCTGATGTAAATTGTCATAGATCCATTTGAGCCAAAGCAGCTATGATGGTTTACATGAGGTGAGGCTCTCAGTGCTCCAAGCACTGCAAGAGCAGAAAGCAAAGTGCAACTCATCTATGTGCTTTAGGGTTGACAGCTCTAGCGACCAGACAGGACACCATTCATGGCAATAGTGTCTGGTCTGCCAGTTGGGAAAGTTGGCATCCCTAACGTGCTCCCCAATGTAGTGCACAGATGAGCTAGGCAGGCCGCCTGTGATGCTTGCTGGAAGAGAGCAGGCAGGCATATGGCAAGACCAATTCTCGCTATGTGACCGAACTGGTACATTGTGTCCGTCCTTCTCTGTGCTGTCTCTGTTTCTCAGCACCCTTCTACACAGGAGGAACGTGGGGAACATAAAGGATGGCATTGGTGATTTAAGTTACAGTTCCACAGCACAAAATGTTTGACCTGCAAACAAGATTTGCCTCCCGTCAAACTGTGCTGGCTGTATCACATTCACCCACCTCCACCAGGCGATGAGAGTCTAAGGAGTGTCTACATTGCACTCAGACCTGTGACTACAGACCATGCTGACATGCCTGAGACAATTTGAATAACAGCAGTGAAGTCAGCGCAGCATGGGCTACCTAGTCCATAATTCTCTGTTTCATTTTCCTTTTCCATTCCCTGGTTATGGCCTTCTCACCCCATTCCTGTTTTTAGTTGCCCCCCAAAATCATTTGGGCAATGGGGTCAGTTGACTGAGGGGAGGAGGGGCTTTCAATGTTGGAAGACCTGTGCCCAGCCACCTCCCAGAACTGAACAGAGCGGTAGGTACGAACTGTGCTGCTGCAGTCTCACTGCTACTGGTCTGGGAGCTAGCAAGATCAAAGCTCGCTACAATCTCTTTTCCTCTCCAGCAGGGACTTTATTGCATTCCTGGGCCAGGTCTATGCTTGGAGCTGGGGGTACACTCCCACTGGGGCTAGCATGCTTAGGAACACTAGTGTAGCCACGCAAGCACTGGCAGCAGCAAGCAGTAGCATGGACTAGCCTCTGCTGCTGTAGCTGAGGGAGAGGTGCCTCTCCCCCAGCCAGGCAGCTCTCTGTGCGGCAGCCCTAAGCCCCGAGGCAGGGCTCATGAAGCAGCTGCACAGCCGTACTGTCACACAGCTCAAAGGGAACCTTGGTCTTTGCTAGGCACTGGGCCTCAGGACTACATTCAGAAAGCACTCTTTGGTTGTTATTGCTTGTAGAAACTCATAGCCTTGGAGCAAAATCCAGTGACTCTTCTAAACCTATTTGTTCTCCACATGCTCAGTCTACACCCAGAGGGCCACAGTAATTAATTATAACCCCCAAGGAGATTACTTAGATTCCCGGGGCTCTGTCTGCTGGCAGCTCAGGGAGAGGTACTCTGAGTTTGCCTTGGCTCCTCCGCCCTACCAGGGACAGAGTCTGCTTGGCAACCCATAGGGAGTGAGATGCCCCTCCCAGGGAGTTCTGGAGGGGAAGGAGGAGCTGTGGTGGGGGGATCTGGAGCCAGCCAGGGCAAGGGGAGGGCTGGCTGTGTGGGAGCTAGTAAGCCCCAGGCCTGCATGCAGGGTTCCCCCTGAGAACTAGTCTCTAGGGACCTGAAGGCAGGATCCCTCCGCTGGGTTTTATGTCTCCACTGTTGACTCCCAGTTTGTGGAGTTTGCTGGGAGGCTTCCCCAGCCAGGCTGAGTTGGCTCTCCAGCTCCCTGGGTGAGACCAGTCACCACATGGTCAGCTCTGCTCTGTCTGCTGGTTCAGGGTGCTGCCTGCTGTGTGTGTGTCTGAATGCTGGGGTAGGAGATTATAGTTTGAATTTTGGTGCAGTTGTGTGGCCTGCACCTTGAGCCCTGCACCTCTTTGTGATGAGGAGAAATTCTGGGACTGTAGCAGCCTGATTCCTGACTGATGAGGATCCCTGCCAGAAGAGACCAGCCCCTCTTCAGTGACTGAGTGATCTCTGAACCTGAGGCTCATTCACAGAGTGTGTGAGTGAACCATCTTTTAGTTAGTCAGTTAGGGAATTTGTTTGGGGATTTTATAACATGCTGCATATTAAACCTGTGGAGGGATTTACCATCTTCTTCCACTTGGGAGTCCTTTGGGCTGTACTGGACCCCGTCAGCCCCACTGCTAAACCACTGCAGAGAAGCAATTTGTGGTCATAAGTCATAAAGGGCCCCAACAAAGTATGTCTACCAATGGGACACTGACCTTACAGTTGCTGGGCACCGGTGACCCTAAAAATAGTGTTTTACCCTGTTCTGTTATATTTGTCTCCTGTTTAACATAATTGTGTTTATTACAGTGTATGTGTTTGTGTATTTTCTGGGAATCTCCAACTATCTGTCAAATACGTGGGGATTCCCCTGGGTTAGAATTTTCCTCCCAAGCTGCCCTGGTGACCCTGCCAGGAAGGAGTGAGGGGGGTGGAGGCACCGCCAAATAAATCCATCGGAAAAAATAAAATTGAGTGGGTGGCGGGATCCAGAAGAACCCAGACCTATCCATCAAAACCTGTAAGCAGATTGGCATTAAAGAAGGTGACCAGGTGGAGAGGGGGTGCTGCATAATTAACGTATTGTATTTATTGTGGAAACAAGATGTAAAACAGTGAACAGGATTTCCTATGGGGCATGACCAGGTTAATAATGTAATGTTAGTGTCACTGAACAATTTCTTTACATGCTCGTTTCTAAGGTTATGTCTAAAATTAATGCTAAAGTACATTCTAAAGTCTAGAAGTAGCTCTACTTTCAACAGTACATCACATTCATTCGGACTATAAAAAGAATGAAGTCAGCATTAGGAGCCCATACATTAGTTCTACTGTGACACAAATGGGTTGTGCCTGTCTTTTTAATGTCATTTTGTAATGGCCAGGTATTTAAAGTTCGCTCATATCTTTCCATTTAACTTCAGAGGCAAGTTCCATTAATTCCGCAGTGGGCTGCTGAGACTAAACTCATTTTTAGACTTGGCTTTATGTGCCACAAATGGACAGATCCTTCTGCAGCTTTTCAAGATCGGTTCTAAATTTGTGAGTTTAATTCAGTATTTATGAAACTCTTTCTCCTTTACCAGTAGCAAAGTTCTTAAATGAATGAAAAGATAAGTTATGGTGTTAGAACTACTTAGAAGGGTTTGGCAGATAATGGATAATATTCTGAAGCAACATCTGCTAGAGTCTTTGCCAGCAGCATTCATATGACATACATAATCTTTGCCAAGGTTTGACATTAAATGCTTAACATTGCAAAAGGAGTGATGTTCAGGGGGTTGTGTCTTCATAACTCCATATGTGTGTGTGAAAAATGGGCTCTTATATTTGCAATCACCAATTTTACATGTGACAATGTGGATTTCTGCAGAGGCATGGAGCCAGAAAACATATCTGCAGGCTTGTCATTGTACGCTCCTTTGATCTGGATCCCAAGACCAGTTAGCTATCTTCCAGCAAGGCACCAGAGATCTCCATCAAGGCCAGAATCCTTAGCTCTAGGCTGTAAAGTATTCTGCAGCTGCCACTGCTATTCCAGAGCAGTAATGGACCACCTGGCTCCTGCAGTCCAACTTTCATTCAGAGAGGATAGGGAACAGTTAGGGAGAAATACAGTCAGAGATACATTAACCTCCGACCCTGCACGTATCCCCGGGCCCCTTAACTCCTGTGGTATGGCAAGAGGGTCCTGATCCTACTCCCATGCAGGAGCAGAGTTTTACCTGGATGCTGCTGGCATCCTGCCCCCTTGTAAAGAGGAACTCACCAATGTTGTTGTTTCCTGGACTCTCTTTATCCATCGGCTGGAAAATAATTATTTCAGTAACAAGCAATTAGACATTTTTTTGCTAAAATAATGAATATTTGCTACTAGGGACACCATCACAGAGTAGATTAAAACTGATATTTCTCCATTTACTATTCTGGCATTAAGTCAGTGCCTAACATGACATTAATGTCATGCATTGGTAGTAAGCATGTAAAATGTGTTTGTGAGAGACACACCATTCCAAACCCTTTACTTCACACACATTCTTACCTGTCAAACATATCACCAAAGGCAAAAATACTTCCTCTCTGCAAAGCTGGTACTTGTTAAAAGGGTTGCCTTCTTTAAACCTGCCTGAACGGTGATGTGACGGGGCGAGGCAGCCCCGCACTGAACCCGAAGGGCCCAGCCACGGTTACCTGGCTGCAGAGGCCCCTCCCCCACAGCCCTACCGAGCATGCCCAGGCTGTAGCTCCACTATAAAAGCCTGGGGAAGGACTCAGTCTGGGAGATCAGCTGGAGCAGAAGGACCTGTGAAGGGAGCTCCTACACAGCTGTAGCCCGAGACTCCAGGAGAAGCCGGAGGGGAGGCGAACTGGTGCGACCCAGGGACTGCCTGCCGAGGAGATGCCGGCCTGGAGATTGCAGCGAGCTGGGCGAGTACAGGGGAAGGAACCCCAGGGAACCAGGTAGGAAGTGGCCCAGGGCAGGAGTGGGAGCCTCCTCTCCCGCCCAGAGAACCTTGGTGCGTTTCGACCGGATTGCCCCGCTGAGGGAGTGACCCGCTACCCGGTTGCTCACAGGGCCCTGGGCTGGGACCCGGTGGAGTAGGGTGGGCCCGGGTTCCCCTACCTGGGGTGCGTCCCTGCTATAACCCTAAACTGTGTTCTGGACTCAGGCCGGAGGGCCTTGGACTTGAGAGAGTAGGCGGGAGGGGCCCGCCACAGGTGAATAGAATTCCCACTCTCCAACCCTCCTTTGCCAAAATTTGACACAGATGCATTATAAACACTGAAAAAAACCCAAAGCTGGTCAGAAAAGCACAAAGGGGAAAGTAACAAGTCACTACCTTTCAAAACAACTGATGCTTTTAGTTTCATTTTGGGTATTTGACCTTCATAGCCCCAGCAACACGTTTTTTTTTTTTTTTTTTTTAAATACCTACACTGGCCAAGATGGGCAATTAAATTGAGGCTCTTAAATCTATACTGAATCACTGTAATAGGTGGCCTGAAAAAGGTCAGGGAAATGTGTGGGACCTCACTGAATGGGGACTGCAAGTTACTAAAGGATGATTTGGAAGAAACTGAAGTTCTCCATGTTTTTTTCTTTTTGCCATGGTCTTCACAGACAAAGTCAGTTCCCAAACTGGCAGCACTGTATGGGGAGGAGGGTGAGTAGTCCTCTATAGTGAAAGAACAAGTTAAGGACTATTTAGAAAAGCTGGACATGCACAAGTCTATGGGACCAGATCTAATACATCCAAGGGTGCTGAGAGAGTTGGCAAATGTGATTGCAGAGCCATTGGCCATTATCTTTGAAATCTCATGGTGATTGGGGGAGAAGCAACTGTAGTTTTCATCTTCAAAAAAGGAAAGGCTGCGGCTCTGGAGAACTATAGACCAGTCAGCCTCACCTTAGTCCCTGGAAAAATTATGAAGCAGAACCTCAAAGAATCCATTTTGGAACTACTGGACGAGAGGAAGGTGATCAGGAACGGTCAACATAGATTCACTAAGAGCCTGACCAACCTAATTGCCTTTATGATGAAATAATTGGCTCTGCAGATATGGGAAAAGTGGTGGTTGTGATATATTTTGACTTTAGCAAAGCTTTTGATATAATTTCCCACAGTATTGTGGCCAGCAAGTTAAAGAAGTATGGATTGGATACATGGGCTGTAAGGAGGATAGAAAGATCACTAGATTGTCAGGCTCAATGAGTGGTGATCAATTGCTCAATGTCTAGTTGGCACCTGGTACCAAGCAGAGTGCTCTGGGGTCAGTAGTGGGTCCAGTTTTGTTCAATATCTTCATTAATGACCTGGATGAGTGGCTGGATTGCACCCTCAGCAAGTTAGCAGATAACACTCAGAATGATGTTGACAAATTGGAGGATTGGGTCAAAAGAAATCTGATTAGGTTCAACAAGGAGAACTGCAGAGTCCTGCACTTTGGATGGAAGAATCTGAAGCACTGTTACAGGCTGGGACCAACTGGTTAAGCAGCAGTTGTGCAGAGAATGGTCTGGGCAGCACAGCAGAGGAGAGGCTGGATATGAATCAACAGCGTGGCATTGTTGCCAAGAAGCCTAATGACATAGTGGAGCATTGCCAGCAGATTGAGAGAAGAGGGCAGCATAGGAGGAGCATTGCCAGCAGATTGAGAGAAGAGATTATGTCCCTCTATTGGGCACTGGTGAGGCTACCTCTGGAGTACTGCTTCCAGTTTTGGTCCTCCATCACAAAAAAGTGTGTGGACAAATTGGAGAGAGTTTGTCAGAAGGCAAAGAAAATGATTGTGGGGCTGGAACACATGACTTATGAGAAGAGCCTGAGAGAACTGGGCTTAATTTGTCTTCAGAAGAAAAGAATGAGGGGGCATTTGACAGAAGCCTTCAAATATCTGAAGGGGGGTTCCATCTGCTAGGCAGATGACAGAATGAGGAGCAATGGTTTCAAGTTGCAATACGGGGAGATCGGTGCTGATATTAGGGAAACCTATTTTACTAGGAGGGCTATGAAGCACTGGAATGGGCTCCCTAGGGAGATGATGGAATTTCTATCCTTAGAGATTTCTGAGGCCCTGTCTGTAAAAGGCCTGGCTGGGATGATTTAAGTTGGGATTAGTTCTGTTTTGAGCAGAGGGTTGGTCTAGATGACATCCTATGCACTCTTCTACCATCCCTAATCTTCAATGATTTTTCAAAATGGCTGAACACCTTCAGCTGCAAAAGACTCCAGAGGGACTCAAGAGCTCAGCACTTGAAGATAAAGCCAGCTGGCAACATGGATAAGGACCGGCTCAGAAACATAACTTTAGCTCCCCCCCCCTTTTTTTAAAAATTTTCAGCCACTGTCACTTGTACAATTACAATAAATATACACAAAACCAAGTAGTGAAAGATTAGATGTAAAAAAACCTCCTGTAGATAGCATTGACTTTTGAAACCTTGAATTAAAATTTCAAGTGGCAGAGGTGTAAATGGTTACACAAGAAGAAAGGTAGTGAAGACAAGTCCAAAATATTGATGCTTGTACTTTTTATATAAACTTTGGTATGTGGTAAATAAAAAAAGTTCCCCTCTTAAAAACAGTGCATAGTACTTTAATATTTCCCCCCACATACTGATAATATAATCATCATCGAATATCTTTTCTTCACTGAGAAGAAGCCTATCATTTAGTTATGATAGCCATCAACATACCTATATTTCCATCCACAGTATTTAGCTGCTAGAGTTTGGTTCCAAGTTAGTTTACCCATTTTTGTTATCACTGCACCTCTGGCAGCAGTGTAAAGTTTCAAAGCACTCGGTCATTGAAGATAACCTTTTGTATTTTGCTATTCCTGACTTGTCTGTCTTTTCAGCTGACTTTGGATCATCTTCCTCAACTTATGGCTGGATTCAACTACAAGATTCTGGAACACTTTTCAATACAATCTTTCTGCTGCTGCTCAGCTCCAGCTGATGTTAAGGGACATTAAGGGTGCTCAGCACCACTCAGAAGTTTCTCAGTGCTTCACAGAATGGAGTCTTAAAACATGAGAATACGGACATAGTGTTTCTTTTCAAATTTCCCAATTAAAAGCCAATGGGAAATCAATGGGAGTCTCTCTCTCCTTCTCAACAGGCTTTGGATCAAGCACTAAATCTCTAGAAATTTATCTTTGTACATTTATTTTAAGTGTTGATGATGACATGCAATAATGGAGAATTAAATCGCATCTAGTTCCATTAAAAATGAATGCTAGCATTACTACTAACAATAACTTGAGAGAACACACACGCTTTCCCCACATTCCTGGATAAACTTCGCCTGTGAGTTTGTTTCATAAGGCCCATATATAACAGGGGGGCCAGCAGACTGAAACGTTTCACCTCCAGTGTTGCAAGTTAGTTTCACCAGTTAGGTTTCATGACACAACAGCATTTACATGCATCAGCAAACAATGAACATCTAGGAATATACAATACCTGTGACTGTTGTAGACACAGACTCTTCATTTCAGAATAAGCAAAGGGCAAGAAAACAAATAAAATGAACCATTGTGTTCTTGGCTACAGGATTTGGGGAATCCCTAGAAAAGCCCCTATCACTCAAGTTTTCCTCCTGGCTTCCTTTTCCCTATTTTTCTCATCTCTTCTCTCCTCTTCTGTGATCAAAGGGAAGGCCTAAGTGGTTGATTATCCTTCTTTGAGAGAGGGGAGAGTCATGTTTCCTGCCACTTGGAGGTTAGTGGACAGAATGAGTCCGCCCATCTGGTCATTTCCTAGAATGGGCTAGCAGAGAGCGCACAGATCTTGAGCCTATTGGCCCTGTCCAACCAATGCAAAACAGAACACAGATCAACAACTTCAGACAATGGCAGACTCCACATAGCTTAGGGACTGTCCTGCAAATTGCCTGAGTCAGAATTCTCCTTGGCTTTATGTTTCATTGATCCTAAAAACTGGCTCAGGTTCCCACTCTAGAAAAATTAAGTAGTCCTGAAGTCAAGATGGAAACAACCTTTTTATTCTCTTTAACTCCACTTATTCCAAATCCATGCTGGCCACTTACAGCTTTCTAGGAGATACACCAACATGGATCTTGTACTCTTTCCTCTTTTTCCACATTTTTTTCCTGCAGCAAATTTAATTCAAGGTTGCTTCAATCTGATACTCTACCTTCAGTTTCAAATTTCAAGCTGGGGCTTTTCAGGCATTTTTTACTCATGGGAAAGATGGCTGTCATTCAGTTTCACTTTACATTTGGACCTTCTCTTCATCATTCTGTATAGCATTCCTTCATACCATTAACCATTTAACTGTTGCAGCGTGGTCTTAGGACACAAAACAAGGGAAGTGCAAGATGTGGGTTACAGAAAACAAACAGGACTTTTGTCAGCATTTTTTTTGTCCCAACAAACTGATCACACTTCTGATTTTGACACCAATAATGGCTGAAACCAAGAGCAAGTTTTTGCAGCTAGTGGGAGGATAGCTACATAATCATATTCCTTGCTAAGAGCCACAAATCTAGGAGATTGTCAGTGCTGCCACAAACATACGGTTCCTTTTGTTGATGGTGTAACCTCCAGTATCTCCAACAAGGTTCACTTTAAACATGGTTGTCTAGATAGTTTATGTAGGAGAAAGCTTTAACCCAGCATTTAACTATCAAGACACTTAAATTCTGCCCTAGTAGAGCCAAGTAAAAACATACACTAGTTTACATGAGCTGTGCTGGTGTTTATTGACTTTTTTGACACATTATTGCTTGGCTTTGAAAGCATTTCAGCATGTGGTAGTGCCCACGTACAGTTTCACTGACATTTGAGTTTATCTTTAAACAATATTTTTAAGGATCATAATGTCGTTATGCTCTGCTGACCACCTCAGTCTTTCTGCTGATGTTTGAGCAGTCTTTTGGACACAGCCGCCAGGCCGTCTAGCCTCTGTAAATTTCAGTTTATACATGTATTGGCAATACTTTACTTTGAGTGAGGTTGTTCAGTTGTGATGAGGGATGGACAGGCTGGATAATGTTACAACTAGAAACAGCTTCAGGGAATTAAGATAGATCTTGCTGATTCCTCATGAAGCAAAACAATTCTTTTACTCAGTTCATCTACATGTTCATCCTCGGTCATTAAGCGCCAAGCAAATGTTGGTCTAAACTGAGCAAACTGAGCTGCATGATGAAGTCCATGGAATTCTGTAAATAATCATTAGCCATTTATTCCCCCAGGACTCTCTGAATCATACATGCATATGCTCATATTAACAAGTTTGTACAGGAACAATTCAGACTAGTATGAACCACAGAAGTTTATAACACGGGGAATAACGGACGAAGGGATAAAAGGCTCTTCAACTGACATCACTTCACAGGGCAAGAGGCACAGCTACAGCAGATGAGAGTATGAGCAGAACTGAGCTGAAGTCACAAGAGTAAAATAGCACAAAGGCTTAAACTGGAACACATACACACACACACCATAGAAAATATTGATAACCTCTTTGGTGCCAACACAAATACAAACATGGTAAGAGATGCCAAACTTGGCAACTTGCCTTACCAAACAATACTGCCACAATTCCACATAAAAATCCATATGAAATTCACAATGCTAGGAGGGGATGGAAAGAAACAAAAAGTATGAAATTATAAGTTCAGTAGAAAGTCTGGATGTCACTTTAAAGCAGTGTGAGATGGGAGGGTGGAGGAATAGAATCAGAATGCACCATAAGCCTAAAAATATGCCAAAAGGAAAGTTCAGAATCAATTGAGCTTAGATGTAATAACTTTCATTGAACTAGGCTAGGTATTATATTATACAAGCTATGTGGGACTTACCCATAAATTTTGGCTCTATCGGTGAAAATCTCGGGGCTGTTTTTGAGACAAGTACTACATACAGTACTTTTATATTGTGTAACCACATCATGATCAACGGTATAAGAAGTCATGTGGCATTGCAGACAGGAATAAATGATGACCACCATTCATGATCAATCTTTGGTGGAAGTAAAATAATTCCTATTTAACAGTCATCCTCAGCAGGAGTGCAAAAAATTAAATCCATCAAATCACAAAGTGTCGAAGACAGATCTATAAATCACAGTCATGTTCCCAAATATCCTGCATACTTTAAAATTAGGAAAATTAGCAGGAAATAAACACTCACGCTTGGAGAATATTGCTAATCTTGCAAATGTGAGAACATACACTAGAAACACTGCTGTATATCACATTTTGGGGGGAATAGTATGCTATCATTGATTAGCAGATGCTATTTACTACTATAATATTATAAACACAGTAAAGACTGTCTCAGAGGCTTCTGCCACTGCACAGTAATTATTTTAAATTTACAATACAAGGATTTATAAAGTGTGCATGTCAAATATGAACTGGGCACAGGATAAATTAAATGAAATGGTCTTAAAGGCAGCAATAGAACTAAGAACATATTGGAAAAAAAAGATTTAAACAAGAAGTCAGGAGGAAAAACATCAAGACAATATTAGACAGACTGGCAAACAGACCCCTGGCCTCTTTCTACCTCAGATTATTATTGTGTGTCATTAACGACAAAGTCCAAGATTTTCAAAAGGGATTTACACAAGGCAGGTGCTCAGCCCCATCTGAGAATCAGCTTCCTTTGCACTGACTAAAGTTGGGCACCCAGAAACAACAATAGCTACTTATGAAAATCCCAGCTAAAATATAGTAGCACAAGTCATCATGTACTCTCATTAGCCATGGGCAAATCTAGGTAAGCGTTCTTCCATATTTCTCCAGTGTCAGTCTGCATTGCCTGTATGCACACTCCACTTATTTTCAATCCACATAGCTGAAAAAAAAATCATTAAATGTCAGTAAAGATCTTTTTCTTCCTCTCTCACTCCTTGTTTTGTGCTCAAAAGCCATGTCGGTTTAGGCCACTTCTTCCTACTCAAACTGGCAGTGTCTCACTTGGATCTCTGCTCTTATCTTTGTTCTTCACCTCAGGAGTGTTATACCAACTGCAAAGTCTGCAAACTTCTGTTAAAGGTACTGAGCCTTCCTGAGCTAGCCTCAACATGTAAAATGAAAAGTGGGGGAGGGGCAAGGACTACAGACACTTTTGGAAACACCCAAAATAGCATACAATACATATAGAAAGCTGCACTCAGAAGCAGATACCATGCACCTTTCTTAGTGAGAAATGTCTTCTGAATAAGTTATTTGACAGAATATCGAATTCCTTTGCTCTCACAAGATTCTATATTCTAGGGCTTCCCAAACTTTTCCAGCCACGGAGCTCCTATGGGGAGTGGGGAGGGAGAGGGTTCCTGAAAATCTGGCAAGCCCTTAAAGCATGTGGATTTTTAATTCAATAGGTACCCAAATAAATATACAAAAAATAGAATTCTAATCTTTGCCTATTTCTTATATATTGTTCCCACCCCCCCTCCCAAGAAAACGATCAGAAAATTAGTAACAACTGTCATTAATATTTTCTTGTGGAGCCCCGAGACCTATCATGTGGAGCTCTAGGGCTTCACGAAGCACACTTTTGGGAGATCCTGCTATACTCTGTGGCTATGTCTCCACTATGACTTTTGCTGCAAGAGGCAATGCAAATGAAGCGCGGATTAGCATTTTCTCGTGCTTCATTTGCATACTCTCTTTCGTTCCGTTTTTGTGCTAGGGTTTTTTGCGCAAAAACAGGCAGTGTGGCCGTGGCCATTTTGCGCAAAACCCCCTTTTTCTGCAAGATCCTCCTGCCTGTCCCAGAGAGGCATAAGGATCTTGCGGAAAAAGAGGTTTTTGTGCAAAATAGCCAAAGCCACACTGCCTGTTTTTGCACAAAACACCCTAGCACAAAAACGGAATGAAAGAGTATGCAAATGAAGCACAAGAAAATACTAATCCATGCTTCATTTGCATTGCCTCTTGTGGCAAAAGTCAGGGTAGACATAGCCTGAATGTATCATCAGTCATATAACTCACTTAAGGCCTGATCCAAAACAAACAGATGTCACTAGGAATCTTTCTACTGATTTTGTGAGGTTTTGCATCAGGCCATAACTGCTCCATGCCCAAACTGAAGGTGGGGAAATACTTTCCACAAAAAGTACAGATAACATACAAAATGTAACAATGACACAAGGTAAAAGCTTTGCTCTCTAACTGTAATTAATCAGAATTAATGTTTTTTAATAGGGCTAAAAAGATAGCCGGTTGCAGAAGCACAGCTTATTACAATGATAAACTTCTTTTATCATCAGTGTATAGGATATCACAATGGCTTGCTTTGCAGAAAGGAAAACAAGCAGCAAGATAAGACATGCTGCTGGCTGAAATCTAACAGCACAGCTGGTTGCCAGAGCCCCAAAACTCAGCCAGGATCAAAAAGCAAAACTTTACAAAACACAAAACAAAACTTAAACATAACCCCTTTACTCTCCAAGAGCATGAATGCATTACCCAATAAAGAGTGGACTAGACTATTTCTTGTTCTCATTTAGAATGATCCTGCAACTCTGCCTTTCCATGTCTCTCACAAGTTACATGCTCATCCAGAACATCTGTAACATACAAAACTATTATCCTGTGATCATTTATATAGTGAAGATCAGATCCTTAGCTGTGTGTAAATCAAGATATTCAATTGACTCCAATGGAGTGGCCCCAATTTACAGCAGAGGGGTATCTGGCTCCTGAAGTTTATGCTGCATGATTTCAGCATATGCATGTATGTGACGTTAAACAGATTGTGGTACACGGACATACAGATCAATGGGTTGCATTAGTTATTCTGCACATCATGGTGTAAGTACACGTATGACATGAATTACATTGCACTATTACAATAGTATAGTTGTTACCTTGAGTCACCATGGTATTGTGAGTAGCAGCCCCATATTTTGTGGAAAGTACTTGCTGCTTTTGAGTTTTGGTATTCAGCTCACAAAGAGCTTGATTCTGCACTGGTTTGCCATTGCTTACAGTGGGTGCAGGATCAGACCATAATAGTGGTATAAATCATGAATGGGAGTTTTGCTTGAATAGCTCTAGGCCCAGTACTAGATTTTAGTAACAGTCTGTTCTACCTTGAACCACAGCAGATGATGACTAGAAACATTCCTACCTAGTTCCCATAATGCTACGTGCACATTTGTGTCTGTACATATTAAACTAGACATCTGTTTAACTGAAACGTAAGGCCAAACCCTAAGCAGCTGCAAGACTGACATATATCCGTGAACTTGGGCAAAGTTAAGCACATTTCCACCTTCTGTGAATCTGGCCCATGAAGATGAGTTGAAATAATTCAAAGTGAGTATTTTACTCAACTAATTTATCCTCTTATGACATGGCTACATTACAATTAAAACCTGTAACTGCCTGTGCATGTTGACTTGGACTCTCGGGGCTCAGGTGAAGGTGCTGTTTAATGACAGTGAAGATGTCTGGGCTTGGGTGGGAGCCCAGGCTCCCAGACATGATGAGGTGGCAGGGTCCCACACATGGTGGATATGATTTAAATCAAATGGTGTACATCACGAGTCAGGAAGAATCGATTTAATCATGGTTTTCTACACAAAAGTGCATTCCAGTGGGAGAATGGAATGGCAGATCTCAAATCAATGAAGCCTACACTCAGGGTGTATCTAGACTACAGAGTTTTGTCGACAAAAGTGGACTTTTGTCGACAAAACTATACCTGCGTCCACACTACCGCTGAGTTCTGTCGACATAACGTCGACAGAACTCAGCAGTTTTGTCGACGCTGGTAACCCTCATTTTACGAGGCATAACGCCTTTTGTCGACAGAGTTCTGGCGACAGAGGGTGTTTTTGCATCTAGGGTTGTGTCTAGACTACAGGGTTTTGTCGACAAAGCAACTTGCTTTGTCGACAGAACTGAATGTAGTCTAGACGCTCTTTGTCGACAGAAGCTTTGTCGACAGTATCTGTCGACAAAACTTCTGTCGACAAAACCCTGTAGTCTAGACGTACCCTTACGGTATGGCTACACAGCAACATTTTGAAAATGTTATTTCGAAATAACTGCCCGCTGTGTAGATGCAGACTGAGTTATTTCGAAATAAATATTGAAAAACTGTCAAGCTGGAGGACTTCTTACTCCAACTCCTGTAACCCTCATTGTATGAGGAGTAAGGGATGTCCAAGGAAGAGTTCTCTATTTTGAACTAAGTGCTATGTAGACACTCCCAATTTCAAAATAAGATACGCAATCGGCATAGCTCAATTCGCATAGCTTATTTCAAGTTAAACTCTGCTGTGTAGATGCACCCTTAGAAACACCTCAAGACTTCTGGAATATGCTGCTCAAACAGTTTCACTTTTGTTTCCACTGCCTGTCCCTCCTTTCTCACATTTATTTCCAGACTTCTTCTCCTTCTCTAGACCTATGCCACCCACAACAATCTTCTATTCACTGAACTTTTTGAAACGTTGTACTTTTATAGATAAGTAAGGGATTGGCCCATTAGGAAGGCAGGATAAGGGACGCCCTGAAGGTAGGGAGGTGGGATCAGGAGTGGCCTAGGGGCACTTGCCTGGGGCATTTGCCTGGGGGATGGCAGGGTTGTGGTCTTGATCCTCAACCACTCTGGACATGGCTGGACTGCCAACACAAGTTGCCCCAGAGATAGAGCTGGCTCCCCCATTAGAAAGGCAGGCTTAAGGGACACCCTGAAGGTAGGGAAGTGGGGTGGGTTCTGGCCTGGGGACAGCAGGGTTGTGGGCTTTGAGCCCTGCCCAACCCAGGTTCAGGTGGACTGCCAACACCAGTTGCCCCTGGGACAGATCTGGCTCCCCCATTAGGAATGCAGGATTAAGGGACACCCTGAAGGTAGGGAGGTACACAAATCTGCAAAGGGGCAATAGGGTTGGGGTCTGTTACTTCTCACCTCTGTATTATTTATATAAAAACACTTTTGTTATTACCAAGCATGTTATCTCAGGAGACAGGAATCCACAGTTTGAGAAGTGTAAAACTAAGCATCTCTTATGGTCTCTCCTAGATTGAACACTGAGTTCCACTGGGTAGATAGAAAGATTAACCTAAATAATCTATGCAGAAACCTCTGCAACACCACAAGATTAGGCCCCTAATCCATTAACTATTGGAACTCATTTACAAAACATTTTCTTAAATATTACCTGAATTACAATTTATAATCCCTATTCCATGAGGAGAGATATCTTTGAGTTATGATGCATCTTAAAACTATCTTTAGAGATTTTTTTTCCTCAAAAAGCATTATAAAAGCTATTAGATTTAAATAAAAATCAGATTTAAAAAATTATAAAAAAATCATTGATTTTTATCTACCCTGGTCTCAGAATATGGGTCCAGCCTGAGCCCAAATATTTACACTAAATAGCTTCTCAGCCTGAGCCAGATGACACGGGCCAAACATGGCTTTCTAATTTCACTGTAGACACACTTTTATTCTACATGTAGAATGTCAGCAAGTAAACCAGGATTTTCTCAGGGTAATTCAATTGTTTGAATTTGTTCAGAGTATCAATACCATCTGTTTACTTTATGAACCGATTATTAACAGTTTTCTGTAAATAGCTATTTAGGGTGGTGCTGCTATTAGAAGCTCTTCTCCCTGACCAGCTAAGCAATACTTTTAGAATCGAGAGGAGGAAGTGTCTGAAGATTCTATGAGGCCTTGGCACTCCCCAGCTCAGGTAACATTTTGTGGAGAGGTAACAAATAAGAAGGAATTTTAAATAAGTTTTTTTTACACTCCCCGGCACGGGTAACATTTTGTGGAGAGGTAACAGATAAGAAGGAATTTTAAATAAGTTTTTTTTTTCTCTCGATCTCTCAGAGGCCTTGCTGGGGGCATTATTCCTATACAGGTTAGGCCTCTGTAATTGAGGATTACAATGAGGATTTTAAATATATTTTTCTCTCATCACTGTGCTTGGTCCTACTTGCCAAGAGTGCAGTCAGTACTATGGCTGGTTGATTTAACCTCTCCCATATCTTGTTTAGTTGTGTCTGTTGGAATCTTTTCTCTTGCAGTGACAAGCCATGTCCAACTGTATATAAAATGTAATACCTCTGAGTACTTCTGTGTGTAAATGTAAGGTTATTTATGAGCACTTAGGTGTGCAAGCCTGGAATTCATGTTCCATGAAAATCTGTATAAAACTTAACTGCATTAATGTTTGTTGCAACATGATTAAATTACTCAGAATCTGCAAGTTCACAGGTAAGGGCCCAATGCAGCAAACCCACCACAGGAAGTGCTCCCACAGATTTGTAGGATGGGGCAACAATTTATCTGCAAGTTTTTGACTAATCCTTCAAGCGCTGCAGTTTGGAATTCCTACCAACTTTTAGGGCTTGAGTAACAATAGGGGCTCAAGTCAGTTTGCACATGTTCAGAATCTGAGCTGGATCTCTCCCCCTGGAGTTTGGAACAAAGATTTACCAACACACAGAAAGGTGACTAATGTAAGATTTCTTGCATCTTGAATACAAGAGAATTTAACACGTTTCTTTGGAGACTGGAATGATTTGAAAGCTCATATTTGATTTGCTCACCACTCTCCTCTTCGGAAAAAATATGCCTGAAAGCTCTTTTCTTTTAAAATAAACAGAATTCTAAAAGGAATACAGAGTACAGGCAGTCCCCGGGTTACATGGATCCGACTTACATCGGATCCCTACTTACAAACGGGGTGAGGCAACCCCGCACTAGCTGCTTCCCCCCAGCAGACCAGGGAGACGCGAAGCTAGCGTCCCCCCCCCACCCCCCCCAGCAGACCAGGGAGACGCGGAGCGGCTTTTCTCAGCAGACAGCTCAGCTTGAGAATAAAGGACTGAGGGAAGTGAGGTGTGGGAGAATAAAACTGAGCTCTGGAGAAATGTTTGGCTAGAATTTCCCCTACAATATGTACCAGTTCCGACTTACATACAAATTCAACTTAAGAACAAACCTACAGTCCCTATCTTGTACATAACCCGGGGACTGCCTGTATTCCCCATCATTACTTCTCTACTTCTGAATTTTAATGGCTAGAACTAGCAATTCTCCTCATCAACAGTTATATTTTTCATTAATGAATGCTGGGATTTCCTAACAAGCCTAATGGTGCTAGGAAACCAAATCTTGTTACATTTCGAAGGGGAGCTGAGCACCTAAACTACTTTTGGAAAATGTTCACAAACACTTACACTATTCTTTCTGCTACAGGAGATCCCATTCTCGCTGCAGTAAATTGACAATTTAAAATTGTGCTTTTGCTAAGTGCCTAGCTTTTTAATTGACAGTAGATTGGGTAAGAGTCTACTATGGAAATAACAAAGGGGTGATGCCTTCACTAGTAGTGACTACTCTGAAAACTTCAGGTAAGAATTTCCACAATCACCACATCATAATCCCAGATAATACAACTGTGCGGTGGGGTTTATTTCCGCCTTGGGGAAGGGGAGGTACCTGTAGACACACAAACCCCTATCAGTCTAACACAGAAGAAGGAGCAGGTCGGACACAGCAGTTAGGTCGCCTAAAGTTCTGCAGAATGGATTGAAACACATTATGCTGCCTCCCTTTAAGTTTCTTATTTGAAGATGTATCTGAGGAAATTGATTTCCGGGTCTGCGTGCTTTGTGCCCTGATCAGTTTCTCATGTTCTCGTATTTGTCTTTGTAAGTGATTTTGGATCGCAATCCCCAGTGACTCTGGGTCTAAGGAAGCACCATATACCTCCCATGTCATGCCTTGTTCATCCCATACAACATCTCTGACGTACTTGGATTGCTGCACGTGCACTTTTGTCTCTGTGGCTATTGTGGGCTTTTTCTTCTTTTCCCCAACATGTGGCAATGGTGGAGCAGAGGTAGAACAAACTGTTGGTTCCTTCCTGATTTCACTGGCCTTGCTGTCTTGGTGCAGTGGAACTGTTGGTGTCACCAGTATATGGGCGTCATGGGTAGAATTCACATTCAACTCAGATGTCAGTCCTGCTTGCAGACACAAGCTGCTGGACTTCTTTGGCTGATTACTTTCTTCTAGTACTTTACCCTGCTCTGTTTGAACTGTGTCTGGTGCATATACCTTCACAGAGCCTGCAGCAGCTCCAGTAGGGGTGTTTGCCCCAACTTTAGCATCAAACAACAATAGCTTTTCCTCCTCCTTTGGCTTTATTTCTGTTTTGACATTAACGGGACTGGATTGCATTTCATCAGCACTCTGGAACTGCGAGTGCTTTCTATCAGTGTCGCCACCGGCTGTGCTGCACAGGGTCTCTGCCTGCTCAGTCCCAAGGGAGACATGCCCGGATGACTGCTTACTTTCTGAATCACTGACACGGTGTGGAAAATTGTTGCTGGCTTCAGGGATGGCTGCAAATAGAGATGGGTGCGGCTCACCCTCTCTAGCCTGCTGAGGTGCGGCAGGCTGATTACTGGTGTTAACCATAATCTGGTAAACAGGTTTTGCCTTCAGTAAGATTGCAGCATCTGATGACAGCTGAGGAATGTCAGCTCTATCTCTGGTCAAGCAGACTGCCCGTGTTTCTGCCTTATCAGCAAATATTTCTTGGGTGTTCCTGACCCTTTGTGGGCATGGACAGGCAAGTGCTGTGTTACCTGACAGCAGAGGACACAGGGTGTCAGGTGGATCTTCTTGATGCTTTTGCAGTTTGGCAGGCTGAGCTTTCACTGTATCTGTGACAGCTGCTGGGACAGACGCTTCTGACATGATACCAGGACACCAGGCTGGCTTTTTGAGTGATGCAAAGTCACCAACAAGTTCTGATTGAGTCAGCCCATCACTACTCTGATAAATGATGTGCAATTGCTCTTCTGCCTCTGGAGGAGGATTTCCCCGCAGAAATGCAGCAAACATACTTGGGCTGGTGGAAGCTGACTTGCTCTCCATACTGGCCACTGCTTGCACCTCAGCATCACACCATGTCCTGTTTACTGCCTCTTGAACTGTGCCTTCAGGCTGAACTGTCATCGTACCTGTGTCTCTGAACCTGGAAAGCTGGAGCAGCATTGGCTCTGTTTTCTCCATCTCTGGCTGGCATGCTGGCTGCGATCCCTTAAAGCCAGACTGTGGTAAAGCCTCATTCCCCTGTTCAAGTGCAGTCCTAAAAGCGGGACAGGAATGCACATCATTTGCAGCTCTTATCTCTGCTTCTGAATTAACTTGTGGCCTGATCCTCAGATCAAAGTCCCTCACTGGAGTGACTGCCAGAGAGAAGCCCGGGTCAGTTATTTCCACCACTGTTTCTTTTTTCATTTGTATTCTTTGCAGGGTATTTGCCTGAGAAGAATGGTGACTGGACTCACAGCTCTTGATAGCGTTGCCTGGGGAAGAATAGTTTAACTCCTGAAGTTCTGCTGTATCATTCATTCCACAGACCTTCATTGCACAGTCATCAGCTTGTGCCAGTGATCTTGATGGGTCACTTTGCATAAGCTGGTTGGTATTGTGGGTAGCTGGCAGCATATCTGTTGCATGCCCAGCTGCACGGGTTCTTGCTAAAATCCGTGCTTGCTCTGGGGAGTCACTGTTGCCTTTTTGCTCTGAGTTACTGGCTGACTCAGTATATGCAGGAGACACTTCTTCAGGTTGGCTGAAGGACCCAGGCAAAAACATGTCTGGCTGGCTAGTGTCATCCCCCCAGAGTTGCTCACCCCTTTGAATGTCGGAAACTACAGTACAGTTCAGATCAAATAAGCAAACTCCAGTAGGTTCAGCTGTGGTGTAAGAAATGCCATTAGTGCTCCTCTCTATGCTTGTTTGTTTGTGCTGGTACGTACTGGATTGCAGATCTCCCAGGCCATCTTTCTCATCAGAAGCAGCAACCAACAAAAGTTTGGCAGACCTCACAGGATCAGGCACCGTCCCCATGGAATTTGCCTGAGCTGTAGTTTGCAATTAGCTTCCTCCAGCAATTCTCTTGCAGAGCAGTGTTTGTATAAAGGGGGTTCCTGTCAGGAACAACTTTATTGTAGAGCCAACCTATAAAAGAAGGAAACACAGCATTAACAGCAATCAGATTTAAGCAGGGAAAATAGCCAGTACAGATAGTTTTTAATATTTAAGGGAGGAGATGTTCAAAGGCATAAAGGGCGGTTTGGTGCTTCATTTAGAATCACAGAATCAGTACCCCCACTTTACATATGGCAAAATGGAGTCCCATACTGGTGACACAGAATCATAGAAGCCTAGGGGTGGAAGAGATCTCAGGAGGTCATCGAGTCCAGCCCTCTGCCCCAAAGCAGGACGAATCCCAACTAAATCATCCCAGCCAGGGTTTTGTCAAGCCGGGACTTCAAAAACCCCTAGGGATGGAAATTCCACCACCTCCCTAGGCAACCTGCTCCAGTACTTCACCACCCTCCTAGTGAAATAGCTTTTTCCTAATATCCAACCTAGATCTCCCTCACTGTAACTTTAGACCATTGCTCTGCCATCCGTCACTACTGAGAACAGCCTTTCTCCATCCTCTTTGGAACCTCCCAAAGGTAGTTAAAGGCTGCTATCAAATCACCCCATTCCCCACACTCTTCTCTTCTGCAGACTAAACAAGCCTAACTCCCTCAGCCTCTCTTCGTAAGTCATATGTTCGAGCCCCCTAATCAGACTTGCACTGATTCAATACAAATTAGGGCCCTATTTCCCCTTTATGCCTTTGAACATCTCTCCCTAAGTAATTTTTCATTTACAGAATAAAAAAATATTTGAATTTCAAATATTTTCCTATGATTATTTATTGTTATTTATGATATTTTTCATATGATTATTTCCAAGAGATAGCTGCTAGCTGCAAATGCATCAAAATCTGCCCAGGTCGTTGAATGATAGAGTAAGAATGTTGTGCATTCATTTAGCCATGTGATTGACCTGGCATCAAAAGTTATCAAAAATATGGAAGTGGGATCTGTATTGTGTTGTTGCTTTGTGGAAAATGTTCTGCAGTCAAAATTCAATAAATAAAATTGGTCTGTTCCTGCGGAAAGGAAGTTTGGTCCCAAGGTTATGGCATTAGCCTGAGACATGGGAAATCCAGGTTCAAATTCCTGTAATGAGCCAGACTTCCTATGCGACCGTGGGCAAGTCACTTAGGGAACATTTACAAAGCAAGGCTAGAGTGGAAATAAGCTATGCAACTTCAGCTACATTAACTGTGTTGCATAAATTGGAATAGCTTATTTTGGCTTTTAGCACTATCTATCCAAGGAAGAGCACTCTCCCTCCAACTTTCCTTACTCCTCGTAAAATGAGGGTTACAGGCGCTCGAGTAAGAATCCTCCAGCTTGACATTATTTTGACGTTATGTCGTGTTGACGTGGACTATGTTATTTCTGATGAAGGAATGCCTAACATAGTGAATGCTAGTGGGAAGGGAGTAGGTTTAGACGATAAAATAAAAAAAGAACAAGTTAAAAATCACTTAGAAAAGTTAGATGCCTGAAAGTCACCAGGGCCTGATGAAATGCATCCTAGGATATTCAAGGAGCTGATAGAGGAGGTATCTGAGCCTCTAGCTATCATCTTTGGAAAATCATGGGAGACAGGAGAGATTCCAGAAGACTGGAAAAGAGCAAATATTCCTCTTTTTATAGATGGGCATTATAAGAACAACCCACGAAACTACAGACCAGTTAGTTTAACTTCTGTGCCAGGGAAGATAATGGAGCAAGTAATTAAGGAAATCATCTGTAAACACTTGAAAGGTGGTAAGGTGATAGGGAACAGCCAGCATGGATTTGTAAAGAACAAATCATGTCAAACCAATCTGACAGCTTTCTTTGATATGATAATGAGTCTTGTGGATAAGGGAGAAGCGGTGGATGTGGTATACCTAGACTTTAGTAAGGCATCTGATATGGTCTCTCATGATATTCTTATCAATAAACTAGGCAAATACAACTTAGATGGGGCTACTATAAGGTGGGTGCATAACTGGCTGGATAACCGTACTCGGAGAGTAGTTATACCTTTCCAGCAGGATTGAGAACCATTAATAACTAGTGGGGTTCCGCAGGGGTCTGTTTTGGGACCGGCTCTGTTCAATATCTTCATCAACAATTTAGATATTGGCATTGAAAGTACGCTTATTAAGTTTGCAGATGATACCAAGCTGGAAGGGGTTGCAACTGCTTTGGAGAATAGAGTCATAATTCAGAATGATCTGGACAAATTGGAGAAATGGTCTGAGGTAAACAGGATGAAGTTTAATAAGGACAAATGCAAAGTGCTCCACTTAGGAAGGAACAATCAGTTGCACACATACAGAATGGGAAGCGACTGTCTAGGAAGGAGTATGGCAGAAAGGGATCTAGGGGTTATAGTGGGCTACAAGCTAAATATAAGACAACAATGTGACACTATTGCAAAAAAAAGCAACATGATTCTGGGATGCATTAACAGGTGTGTTGTGAGCAAGACATGAGGAGTCATTTTTCTGCTCTACTCTGCACTGGTCAGGCATCAGAAAGATGTGGAGAAATTGGAGAGGGTCCAGAGAAGAGCAACAAAAATTAGAGGTCTAGAGAACATGACCTATGAAGGAAGGCTGAAAGAATTGGGTTTGTTTAGTTTGGAAAAGAGAAGATTGAGGGGGGACATGTGTGACGGCACAGTCGGGGTTCCCCCGATCCTGCACCAGCCGGTAGAATGGGGGGGGCGGGGGTTTTTTTTCTCCGACATGATGTGTTTACAGGAGTCTGGGCCAGGATACCTCAGAACTCTTGAGATGGGATCTCTATGCCCCTGGATTCCAGCCCTCTCCTTAGACTGGTTCCTCCATGATTCCAGCCCAAGACTGACCCTTCCCCCAGCACACACTTCCTGTGTCCGGTCTCCTCCCTTAACAAGTAGAACCGTCCTGAGGCCCCTCTTGCTGGGCCGTGCTTACAGACAACTGCCAGTGGGGGTCCTCCACAGCCCACTGCCCAAGCATAGCAATCAGCAAGGTACTGACACTACATCACAACATTTGGGCAAGTCAGTGAGAATCACACATCACAACACAGGGGGACCCCGGGATACAGAGCAGACTGCACCCCCACTACTCCACAACATGACAGCAGTTTTCAGGTATCTAAAGGGTGTCATAAGGAGGAGGGAGAAAACTTGTTCATCTTGGCCTCTGAGGATAGGACAAGAAGCAATGGGCTTAAACTGCAGCAAGGGAGGTTTAGGTTGGACATTAGGAAAAAGTTCCTGTCAGGGTGGTTAAACCCTGGAATAAATTGCCCAGGGAGGTTGTGGAATCTCCATCTATGGAGACATTTAAGAGTAGGTTAGATACATGTCTATCAGGGATGGCCTAGACAGTACTAGACTGGTCCTGCCATTAGGGCAGGGGAACGGACTTGATGACCTCTCGAGGTCCCTTCCAGTCCTAATATTCTATGATTTCAGAATAATGCCAGTTACAAAACACCAAGACATAAAGGACCTACACTGAAGATTGTGAGGTCCCTAAGAGTACGTCTACACGGTGGACCTATTTTGGGATATGGGAAGTATCCTGAAATAGCTGTAAGTTGAAATAGATATTGTGATATAGATTTTGAAATAATGAATGGCTTAATCCGATATCCTGGTAACCCTTTTTTCACAAGGGTTAAGGGGAATTTCAGAATAGCGAGTTATTTTGAAATTTGGCGCTGTGTAGACAGTGCCAAATTACGAAATAAGCTATTTTGAAATAGCATAGAAATAAGGCACTCAATTTGCGTAGAGTAAATTGCGTAGCTTATTTTAAGCTAAGGGTACTGTGTAGACACACTTTAATAGTGCAGTGGAAGTACTGAAGATAGACAGTATCTGGCAGGTCTCTTGTATTTTTAGACAGGTTTTACTTCATAAATACTAATCTGCTAAAATGATCTGTTAAAGTAAATATTGTGAACTAATGTTAAGGAAAATGCAAGGATTGATTCTGGAGGTGCTACTGGAAAACAAATCTGCATTAATAATCTTTCAAAAGCATTCTCAACAATTGTAATAGACTAATTTACAAACTACAGGCATATCCTGTGTGCACAATTGTTTGTCCACTGCTGAGGTGCAGCCATGTATTGGATAAAACACAGCTAAACTCAGCACCACTGCAAAACAGGAGATCAAAAACACTCTCCAGAGAGTAGGGAGAATTTTAGACAGAGGAAGCAGAATTATTCAGGACTCCAGAGAAACTCTCATTTCGAACTAAGAATACTTTTAAAAAAGATCTCCAAGTTGGCCAAACTCTTCTCTACTGAAGTCATTAGTAACATTCCCATTGATGACAATGGATGCAGACCTAGATCAATGGTGAGCACTATGGAAAATCCCTGCTTTGTTCCTTTACATAGTAAGTTGCCTGTGTCTCCCACAAGACATTCATATGAAAACTTCTCCAACACATTCATGTCCAGGGAGCATAAGGCAGTGACTCATTATACTGGATTCTGTACTTCTATATCTGCCGCTGGCTTACTCAATGACCTTGGGCAAGTAATCCCTAACCCTTTACTGGATGAGGGAGGTAATCTAGTGACACATGATGTGGGAAAAGCTGAAGTACTCAATGCTTTTTTTGCCTGTGTCTTCATAGATAAGGTCAGCTCCCAGACTACTGCACTAGGCAACACAGTAAGGGAAGGAAGTGCGCAGCCCTCTGTGGAGGAAGAACAGGTTAAGAACTATTTAGAAAAGTTAGACATACACAAACCCATGGGGTCAGATTTAAAGCATCCAAGGATGCTGTGGGAGTTTGCAGATGTCATTGCAGAGCCTTTGGCTATTATCTTTGAAAACGCATGGAGACAGGGAGAGGTCCTGGATGACTGGCGTGGAGACAGGGAGAGGTCCTGGATGACTGGAAAAAGGCAAATGTAGTGCCCTTCTTTAAAAAAGGGAAGGAGGACAATCCAGGGAACTAAACACCATTCAGCCTCACCTCAGATCCCATAAAAATAATGGAGGGGATCCTCAAGGAATCCATTTTGAAGCACTTGGAAGAG